CAGAAAGTGACTGAGGTTAGACTCCCAACAAATTAAAATATTTCGGAAATTTTTAGATTAAAATAAAGAAAATAGGTAAAGAGGAAATGCTGCTTTCATTATATATTATTTTATATAATTCAATTTTTTATATAATCCAATTTTTATACAATTCGTTATTTTTTCTTTATATATTATAGATTTGGAAAGTCTTCTTGAAACTACCGCTCATCAACAACCGAAAAATTTCTTAGATCACTTAGCAACACCGCGACGTGTCGTACAATTACCACCACCAACGAAGAAGTTGGCTGCCGATCACCACGTCAGGTATCCTTTTCCCATTGTTCACATTGTCTTCTTTAATTCTAAATTAACTTCCCATGCAGTCATAGCTAGAATTTAATTATATTTGAACCTTTGTATACAGATCCGAAATAAGTCGATAGTTGAAGGAAAACGGGATCGAAATCCCTCTTAGTAAAAGGGGGATTTTTATTCTTGTGAAAATCTTTCTTCAACATAGGCTTGACTTTTTACCACCGGTAGTGTAATTTCATGCGGCTGTAGAATATCACTCTAGGATATATCTCTTCCTGGAATATGATGATACAAAGATGAACTTATATATTTTTACATTTCCTTAGATATCAAATTAACGGAGAGAAAAGGTTTTTAGGGCCAATTCGACAGCTGATGAGCGAGCACGGTCAAAATTAAGCAAGGAAGATCGGGGATTCTTCCGTAACATCTTCAAGCGTGATACTAAGGATCGAAGGGGTGTGTTACAAGTGTTTTTGACTTATGATAAGATTTACCACTTAAACTATGCAGTAGCAAAGTAGGCTTTTAATTTATCTGTGCAATGTACATTTGCCATGGTGCTGAGTGGTTTAGTTTTACAGTTTTATGTTTTTTTCTAGAAAGCTTTCAAATTTGTGTAAGGATTACCTAAAAAAGATATGCAATGTACTGAAGTGGTGTATTTTCATATCCAAAATGTCAAAAAACAAAAGAAATCTAGAATAAGGATTACTATAGGTTTTAATATGCTTTATTGAGGATAGATTTGGTTGCGTTAATTGTTTCTGGTTTTGTAGGACGAGTTGCTGGAACATTGCCGAAGTCAATGATTGTACGGTCACCATTAGGTCCGTCCACAATGGGATCATCCGCAATTTTGAAAGTAATTATAAATGTTTGAAAGAAAACCTCAGAGATTTTAACTTGTGTAGTAAATGGACTTTTTAGGATGCATTGGTCTGATCATTATTGTCGATTCGAAATGCAAATCGTGATGCGCTGTCAACTTAGCTTTTTTCTTCACTAATATTGTTCTTATAACTAGTGATTCGCCTCTAAGCCTCAT